GGACGCTCTTTGACCGCCTTCCATCACAGTAAAATACAGTGAAATATCTTCACCACCACAAACGTTAAAGATGCTTTTGTTGAGTTTCACCAAGTTTATTTGTGTGCGGAAACAATACAATTTGGGGATTCCGAAATTTCCGTGTGTTTTTGGATGTGTGGAATTGAAAAAAACCTTGTAAATGTATTTCTCACATGCATTAAAATGGGTAATAAACATATTGATTATTAACTCTTCTAGTGGGATTGAACAGAGCAACTATTGACGGTCAGCCCACGTCAATGGAGTAGGACTTATTGCTTTACCTGTATAAACAACAACATCTAACCAAATGATGAAAGCGTAGTGAACAGAAATTAAACTGTTTAAGTGATTTGGAGCAAACTAACCTACAAAGTCGAAACAGACGCTGTTATTGAATATGGAGTGAACACCCTCGACAGTTAATGGCTATATTTTGCATGTGCGAGCTTCAGTGATGTGAGTGAAATAAATGGAATACGCCACAATGGCTGCTGAAAAAACATGAAGCAGATGTCAAATCACCTTGCCAGTCTTCCATCACTATGGAATCCACATCCACCGTATACCGTGAATCGCGATAATGACTTTTGCGCATTAATCGGCAAACTTCATAAAGAGCTTTGTCCCGACACTGTTTTATTAAAACCGATTTATCTATTAGCAGGGTCAATCAAGAGACACAACTCGGTTCTCCATTAACCCAACTGGGGAGCGAACACCGCACCCCACAGATAGAACGCAAGCGTACTGCCAACTCGGCCAACAGGTAGCCGATCAGACCATCTTTCTTTTCGAATATACCGAATATAGCACGTCCCATTTATCCAAGGATTCGCACTGCTGATGAGACCAAACCAGGTAGAAACAGTTGTCCAGTGCTTGCCAGATTTTCACTTCACGCCTCATTTACACGACGAATTCAATATTAAGAAACAGTTGATTTCAATCACAGGCAGTGACTCAAACAGGCTAGTTTATTGAGATAAAAAATATGTGGGCACTGAATGAACAAACCATTATTATCTGGGTGAGGCATGCGCGAGGATTTTGTAGATATCATACAGCAAGATCATACGACGTTTGGCAAGAGCCCCCATAGTCTGATTTCATCAGTGCTAAATTGGGAAAAGTAGATGCTGTAATGCGCTAATTGCACTAAAGAAGCCATTGTTTCCAGCAATGTCTGTAACAGTCGTTCTTTGATCTGATAAAAGTTGGATAATTTAAACAAGCAGTTTAGCGAAAAATTTCATTTTGGTGACTCATCAACTGGCTCGATGATGTCATATAAAACGTGACATTTTATATCAGATCATTTTGTATAAAAATGAAGGAAGACAACTAATGATTATTGAAATGGGAGTTGTTGTTATTGTTTTCTGTCTCAGTTTCACCAAACCAGATATGGCTGATCCTGTCATCGCAAATTAAGCATGGTTCGTTTTAATTGTGCGATTTGAAGTGGAATTTGGAGGGCGAGGAGGAGGCGGGGGAGGATGAAGATGGGAGGTGGAGGGCCATGGTAGGTTTAGTGACTTCACAAAGTGTTTTGGGAGCACAAGACGGGGGGGGGGGGG